GCTCAAGCGAGTCTCCTGCCTCAGCCTCCCAAGTAGCTGGGACTACAGGCGCCCGCCACAGCGCCGGCTATTTTTTGGTTGCAGCCGTCATTGTTGTTTGGCGGGCCGGGCTGGGGATTGGAACTCGCCACCTTAGGTGTATGTGGCTTGGCACCTTAGCCTCTTGAGCCACAGGTGCCGAGCCTATTGAGGATCTAAAACTTAAAATCACATATCTTGCACTTAGTCAACATTTTTAAACTACCTTTGGTGCCTGGATGTGATAGTACAGGAGGTAAAGAAAGAAATGAGGTTCACTGTTTCCTATCTATGTTTCTGTTATTTCTTGCCAAGGCTCCTTTCAAAGTCTTCAAAATGATTTCTCCATTTCAATGTCTTTCACACAAGTTTTCAAGATGAGTGCTCCTAAAAGTGCAGTTCAGGCCATGCTACAACTTGCTCAAAATCTGTAGTTTCCACTGCCTACCAAGATAAGTCTACTCTAATCTTGGTTAGAGTCATGTCATAGACTATTTCACTGTTTTTACTACCTATATTTTGATGTGTGCATTTATAATGCGCTCCTGTGCATAACATGCACACACATTTTTGCCCCAAACTTTCAGGAAAAAAAAAACTTTTGCTTCGATTTTTTAATTCACACTTTAATTTGTTCATATTTAGGTAATTGTGTTTTGGAATTTTTCAAAACATCAGGTAGATTGCTAGCTCCCACCTAACGTATATGAAGAGAAATACGTAAGCATTTCCTTTGTTGGTCGAAAATGCTTTCAATCCAAGCTCATCTATCTTAAGTTCAACAAAACTTATTACCATATTCTTGGGTATTTTCATATAGATATTGTTACTGCTTTCTAGATTTATGCTTTTGACACATAAAAGCATAAGCATAAATAAAATAAGCATCAACACATAAGCATAAATAAAATCATTAAAAAGCATTTGTATAAATATGGGATTCGTACTATCCATGTGTAAAGCACATCCTTATTTTTCCCTCTAAAATTTGGGCAAAAAAGTTGAGGTGTCAGGTACCCCTCCAGCCAACAGGGGGCGTGTGGGCGTTTCTTCCCTCCCTGGTCCACCGTCCCTTGCAAGGTAGGTATCTTAGGGTTCTATGTGGTGCCAGCCCTTCAGCTCCTGCATACTAAGATGCTGATAAGTCATCCTTTAGTGTTTGACTGTTATTGGCTTCACTGGCGGGTTGCTGTTAAGCTGTGATTCTCTATATTTGCCTGTCTCTCCAGATTTTTAGTGGCTGGTTGTGGTGTTAGTGAGTTCAATTATCTAGCAAATTTAAGAATTGTTGCCTTTTAGTTCAGCTTTTTTTCTTGTTGGGAGGATGGGAAGAACAACTTCTAAGCTTGTTACATGTCAAACTAGTGGCATTGCTTTTTTTATAAATTGATATTGCATCTGGTAACTTTTCAGAACTCTGTTATTTTGTTTGTTGATTCTATTGGATTTTCTTTTTTTTTTTTTGGCCGGGTCTGGGTTTGAACCCGCCACCTCCGGCATTATGGGGCTGGAGCCCTATCCCTTTGAGCCACAGGCACCACCCATATTGTATTTTCGGATATGAGGGTGATCTGGCTATGATATCTGTCACCAACTGATTGCCAACGTTGATGCAGCTCTTGTGGCTGGCCAGGCAGGCTGTCCCCCTCCACCCTCAGTTCCATGTGCATCCTTCCCAAAGCTGTGCTGGGCCAGAGGGGACAATCTTCCTGGAGAGAGGACCACTGTTCTTTAGTCAAGGGTATACAAGCAGCTGCACTCCCCTGCTAGAACCTCCAAACAAGCTCTATTGGATTTTCTGTGTCACCTGCAAATAATTACAGTTTTATGTTCTTCTTTCCAATTGTTGTTCTTTTTTTTACCTATTGCATAGGAATCTTTTCTCACTGACTGCTAACACTCTATAAATCATTTAGTATGGTGACCATGTATACAAGACTAAATTAACTATCTTTTAACTCTTTGAGACTTTTATAATCAATAATTTTTATGATTTATAGATTTTTTTTTTTTTTTGAACACAGTCTGACTTTATTGCCCGCTATAGAGTGCTGTGGCATCACAGAGCTCACAGCAACCTTCAACTCCTGGGCCTCAGCCTCCCAAGTAGCTGGGACTACAGGCGCCTGCCACAATGCCTGGCTATTTTTTTGTTGCAGTTCAGCTGGGGCTGGGTTTGAACTCACCACCCTCGGTATGTGGGGCTGGTGCCCTACCCACTGAGCAACAGGCACCACCCAATTTATCGATTCTTAGGTGATTTATTTTACAAGGAATTTAGAATTCTCATCCTCTGATGTCTAATTTCTCATCTCTACTTGAAAATTTAATGCCCTTTCCTTTTCTTTTAACTCCCCTCCCTTCCTTCCTTCCTTCTTTCTTTCCTTCTTCCCTCCCCTCCCCTCTCTGTTTTTCCTTTCCTAATCATTCCATTCTGTCTGTTTTTCTTTTTGGCCAGGGTCTTGCTCTGCTGTCCAAGCTGGAGTGCGGTGATGTCATCATCATAGCTCCTAGCAACCTCAAACTCCTGGCCTCAAGTGATTCTCCTGCCTCAGCCAGCTGAGTTGCTGGGACTATAGGTATGTGCCACCAAGCCTGGCTAATTTTTCCACTTTTTGTAAAGATGGGCTCTTCTTGCTCAGGCTGCTTTCAAACTCCTGGCCTCAAGCAATCCTCCTGTCTCAGCTTCCCAATGTGCTAGCCCCCTTTGTTTTTTATTTTTAAATGACCAGAGTTTGGACTTTAAGGTTAAAATATCAGATTAATGGTTTCAAAGTTTTCATTTTGAATGAAGAATTGTGGTTGAATTATACTTTTCTGCATGTACTGAGATGATCATATGATTTTTCTTTGTAATTGGTTACTGTGGTGAATTATGTGTTTTTTTTTTTTTTTTAAGTATGAAATCATATTTGAATTCCTGGGATAGATTGAACTTGGTCATGATATATTATTATTTTTCACATATTTTTCTGGATTTGGCTTGGTAATATTTTATGACTTTATAATTTTTTTCAGTCAATTTTCTGAAAGTTTATGTGTTGGTTCAGATCTATGTCAGTAAGTGGATTAGTTTTCATTATAATAAGTTCTTACAATACCACGTGCACATGATATTTTATAGATACTTTTGGATGTAATAAGGTAAAATCTGGATTTATTTTATGAGTATAAAAGTATTCATTAACTTATTTGACAAACATTTATTGGAGATGTACCATGTTGTAAGTACTATTCTAGTGCTGAGGATATAGCAGCAAAAAAAGAAAAAAAAAAGAAAAGAAAAAAAATCCCTGTTCTAATGAAGCATCTTGGTAATACCTTAGGACCTAAAGATGGTCTCAGAATAGAGACCAATGTCACCATGTCAACCCTGTTTCCCATCCCTAGTCCAGAAATTCTGATTCAGTAGCTCTGGGGTAGAGTCTAAGTAGCTGTGTTTTAAAGAGCACAGCATGACTATTTCAACATGAAAAGTGCAGAGATGAGGAAGATTAAGGAGAAGAAGGAAATGAGAAAAAGAAGGAGGAAAAGAAAGTAAACAAGAAGAAGCCACATGTGAGGAGGAATCAACACAAAGATTCTGGCAACATGAAAATCAGAGCAGATCAGATCCTTCTGCCTCACCAAGGGATCATGTTGCAGCTGCCACAGGTGATCCCATGTGTAAGGAAGTGATGGAGATGACAAGAAGGGAGTTTAGAGTATGGATGGCAATACCTTCGGACCTAAAGATGGTCTCAGAATAGAAATAAAACTTTATTGTAGTGTTCCACATTTCATCTGAAAGTCCTACTTTGCTAGTCACTTCATGACTAGGTCTAAAACTTTGATATACCACTATAGGGGCACACACATTTTGGTTACATAATTTGCTTTTGTACTTTTCGGGTCAAAGTTTCCTTCATCCAGAATGGGTGCAATGTGCCCGTTAGGTGTGAATTAACCCAACTCCTCCTCCCCTCTCACTGAGTTGATTCTCGCTGAGTTATAATTCCATACATGCACATAAATGTTGATTGACTAATTCCAATTTAGTATTGATGTGATATTTGTTTTTCCATTCTAACCATACTTAATATATGACTTTTTTTTTTTTTTTTGAGACAGAGTCTTGCTCTGTGGCTTGGGCTAGAGTGCTATGGTATCAGGCTAGCTCACAGCAACCTCAAACTCCTGGGTTCAAGTGATCCCACTGCCTCAGCCTCCTGAGTAGCTGGGATTATAGGGGCCTGTCATAACACCCAGCTGATTTTTTTATTTTTCATAGAGACAGGGTCTTACTTTTCCTTAGGCTGGTCTCAAACTCTGGAGCTCAAGGGATCCTCTTGCCTTGGTCGGCCTCCCAGAATGCTAAATTATAGGTGTGAGCCACTGTACCTGGCTACTACTTTTAATCAATGATAAAAACAAATTTGACCTCTTTACTACTATTTTTCATTGAAAAATTATGGTCCCTTTTGACTACAGCTTATGTAAAGATTTTCATTTATAATAAAAAATGAAATATAAGTAATTCTATAAAACATTTGCTGCTATATGTATATGAATATTTCTCAAATGGTTAGATACATTTTGATTTGTTAATATACCAAGTGAGTTTGTAGCACACTCTGAAAATGTTTCTTTAAAAGCTCACAAGTACAAATATATATCTTCTTTTCATATTAAAAATTAATGAATGGATTGCTCAAAGACAGTAAATGGCATACTCATTCTGATTTACAGTTACCAACTCAATTAGTATTAATTAACTCAAGTAATTAGGAAATTTATAACCTTCATACATTCACTTTTATATTACAGAATTTTATAACAATAAATATAGTAAATTCAATTCTAAATAAATGTTTACCAAATGTGTAAAACATTGAATTTTAGTTCTAAAACAAATTTCCAGTTTATTTATTTTGTAGGTTACAATGTTTACATTTGTTAGGCAGATTCCCGCTTATATTTGTGTCCCACTAGCAATTTCTAATTTAAAATATAGATAAAATCATAGCAAATCCAAACATTGTCAAACTGATTGTAGAAATCTTGGTGTCCAGGGCAGGAGCACTGGACTCCTGTGGAGGAATAAGCTTAGTTGCTTGTGCAATGTTAGAGACCTCTGAGGTAAGACCAGGTTCATTGATGGCTTGGATTGCAATATAGAATATGGTGCCATTTTCTATTTTATTAGGTTCCGGTTTGAACTCAAAATTTTCTGTAGAACCAGCCTCCTTAGGTATCAGACCAGAAGTGTTCACTAAAGAAGCATTATTAAAATCTTCTTGGATGTCCCGAAAATGGGTACTTATTCTTATAACGTATCTGTCAGCTGGAAAACAAATAGATACTTCGTGAATATTAAAATCACCAGGATGCCTTGCTGCTACCTCACTGCCTTAGATTTGGGAGCCTAAGAAATGCACGCTAGGTTTTAGTTAAAGAAATTCCATCATTTTTGTTTGATTATTCCACCTGCTTTATTTTAAGGACAAATATATGGGCAGTTTTTTTTTTAATGTAGAGTTACCTATTCCAAGAAAATTTTCTATGAAATTAAAATAGAAAATTTTCTATTTTCTATGATTTTCTAAATCATATAGTACTAAAAAATAAGACTCTAGATCTGTTTTTAGGAAGAGTAGTAATATAAGGAGCTGAATCCAGTTTTTCATTTAGAACAAGGGATACAATAATATGTCTGTATAGTGAAGACATTCAGCGCCCCACCTCTGTATTATTTCTCATTAAGTTGAAAGGAGAGTAAATAGAGTGGGAAGCAGAGATATGGATAAAGAGTAAAAGGAGGCAGAAAGACTGGGATGTGTACTCCTGAAACATACGCACACGAGCCAGGCAGACCTTGTCTACTGCTTTCTAGCTGTGTAGAGCAACATTTGTTTAACCTTTCTTATCTCTAGTTTTTTAATCTTTAAAATAGAAATTGAGTTATTAGATTCAGTCAGCAAATATTTGTGAATATCTATTATTTTAGTGGTGAGAATTCTATGTACATAATAGTCCATGAAATATGTTTAATATGATTTAATCAGTGTTTAATAAATGTTTGAAATATTAGCTATTACAGCTGCTATTGAGAAAGGAGAGGAAGATGATGACATGAATGTTTCGTTCCACTCTGCTTTTAGAACTCTATCCGTCGTCAGTCTAAAAATATATCCTCACATTCTGAAATGTGATGAATGATGAAGTATCAAATGTCCTTTCTTGAAGTGAAGACTTTATTTTTAATCTTTTCATGAAATGATGAAGATATTTCAAGTGTGTGTGTGTTTTAATTTCAGGTCCTTTTTTCCTCCATAAATAGGCTTTGTCAATCCATTCTATTATTCTTTACAAAACTCTGTGTTCCTTTTAGATAGGTCTATTTATCTATTCCTCCCTCCCTCCCATCCTTCCTTCCTTTCTTCCTCTCTCCCTCTTTCTTTCTTTTATTTTAATTCAAATATTCTATTGCAAAATTTTGCTTTCTTGACCTCGCTCACATTATTTGGTCCCTTCTGTCCCTGCAATGCGCCTCCCTCCTTCTATGCAGGCAAATTGTACTCATGCAAATCGTACTCATCCGACCAAAGCCCAACTTCATGAAGTCTTGTTCAAGTATTTCATTCACTGTAATGATTCTCTTGCATAAACTCCTGTTACATGGAATGGTTTTCCAGATGATTTTTTGGAGGTTCAATTTTTCATTTTAATTATATTCTATTATTTTTAAGAGCAAAGACTATGTGTTCTCCTTTTGTGTCTGTCACTCAGAGCACTTGGTACTGTGCTGAGCATCTATTTGATCTCCTTAATTACTTGTTAGCCAACAATATAGTTATTAAAACCAAAAATGATATAATCAGAAAATTATAAAATATTAGAATTATATCTTCTTGTTTTAGAAATTCTAGGTCACTTAGTCTAGTTCGCATGTTTGGCAAATACAGAAATCGTGTCCTAGGGAATTTAAGGGCTCCATTTGAGATTACATAGAAATTCATTTATTCTTTAAGTTATTGCTGCTGCCTTACTTTTGTGAGATAACGTTCGACAGTCACTGTTACCCCTTCCTATTTGTCACCAGGAAAGAGGATTAGAGCCCACCTATTTTATGCATTTTTGGTTATACATCGGGATGTTCTTTCCCTCTCAGTGTCCGGGGTAGTAATTCTCCTACTTTTAGTTCCTATAATCAGCATGGGAGACTTTTATTGTGAACCGTATCTTGAACTAAAAGCCTGGTGTTTACTGAATTCAGTTTAGAACTAAATATTTGGTTAATCAATTCCATCTGTGGCTTTTTCAGTGGAAATATTGCTGTTTTTCACTTTTTAAAAATTCTGCCATATGTTTAGGGATGATAGCATGAGAAAATAATGTATTTTGGAAGCTGTCATGATTAGGGTTTTCAGCACTGAAATACAGAAGATATGTTTGTGGTTATTTTATATTTCCTCTGGCTTTTGAATTATTTTCAAAAATAATAATAAAAATATTATTTTTGTAAAATAATAAAAAATACAGCTTGAAAAATCTATACAGTGAAAGGTTAATAAACATCTTTTCTTTTGAGAGTGTACAATAAGGGGTTTATTGTAATTCAGGAGGATGAATGTTGAATACTTGATATTTTTAGCACTGACAATTTCTGAGATATCGTATGTATCTACATTGCACATTGCTTTCATTTTCCCACTTTATAGGGAAAATAACAAGACTGGATTTATCCTATAATAATCTACTAGAGTACACAATACTGGACTATGGTAGGCATTCAATAAATATTGATTGAATCCAGTTAAATTTAGAGCAAAGATATAAGTAATCTAAACTTTCTGGAATTAGGATAATTTGTTAGTAGAATATTTATGTAAATGAGATGTTTTGGGGCTTGAACTTTATTCAAACTCCATGAACAAACCTCTCCAAGGAATGAGTTTCTCTGGACATGAGCATCTTGCTCTGTGGGACGCCTTGAGCTAACTTGGCTAACTACTCTCATTCTTCAGGAGTCCAGTCAGGGATAGTTCCCCTGGAAACCCTTTTAGGATATACCCTGTGATTTTAACACCCAAGTAGAGGTTTGTGGTCTGCCTATGGGCTGCTATATCACTCTCTGTTTACAACAGCTTATTTTTATTACACTGAATTTGTTTATTTGTGTGTCTTCTGTACTCAACTGTTGAGAGCAGGGGGTTCGTTCTTGGGAACGTAATAGTGTGAAAACTCAACAAAAGGCTAATAAATAAATGAAATTGTGCAAGCACAAAAATATTTCCCATTTTTTTTTCTTGGTAGGGAGAAAAGAATGCCTCAGAAAGCTGGTAACCCAGTCTTCTCAAAGTAATTTCTAATATGTTTCAATTGTGAGAGGAAATTTGGCAGAAAAGAATCTGACAAGACTGGGCTAGAGTTTCAAGTTACTACACACAGAAATAACTCCAGCCAGTACAGTTATCTCTCGGAGCCTCAGTTTTCCCATCTGAAAATAATTGGATAATGGCCCATAGCAGTCACTTTGTAAATGTTATTTATAAATGGAACATTAGAAAATTCTTAGCAAATGAAAGACAATGGGATTTCTTTTAATAGATTTTAAAGCATAATCTCAAACTTACCTTTTCCTTTATCAAGGACCTTGCCTGGGGCAGTCCATGAAAGTTGAATGTGATCATTTTTAAACTTAGCTTCAAGATCTGTTATTTTGCCAGGAGGAAACACATCAGCATGATTACCACTAGGTGGCACTCCGGATACAATAAATGACCCTCCAGAGGTTACTCTAGTGAAATTTTCTACTTTAGCTTCTGCCATGTCATCTTCGACTTCGGGTCTGGGTGGGTTCAGTATAATTTTACCTGCCAAAAAAATAATTTTATCACTTTTCACATTGTCATGTCTGTTCCTTAGCTTGTAAGCTGATTTGCAGCTATGGAGGGTTAAGACTGATGGCAGACACTGAAAAAAGTAACAGTTTTTAGTGAAAAAATTTTGTTTTATTTTTATCATTTTAAAATTGATGAGGAGACATTTTGGTATGTTAAAACTATCTTATAACCTACCTGTTTCTCCTGCCATGTAAATTCTTTGAGAACCAGGATTGTGTTTTATTTTTCTTTGTAGCTCCTGCATCTAATGCAGTGCTAGTGATATAGCAGGTGCTTGGAATTTTTTTTTTTTTTTTAATTTAAATGAAATGTACTGAGGGGGATGTGATCAAAACATGTGAAAACAAAAGTCTATGCTAGATCCGCTAATACAAATACGGTTTTGAAAAATACAGATGATTACATCATTATATACTTGGGTTTTCCATATTTTCAATGTTTGCCCCTACACGATTTACCTAAATAACAGGCATATTTAATTTCAATGCCACTTACCATTTTCAACATAGCCCGGTATATACAGAGCTTTGTTTTGTCTGTGTCTTAAACTTATCCTAGCTGCGTTTTCTCTTGCCTGGGCACGTACTTTTAAACTGTATCTCCCATTTCCATGGTAATGTGTAAAATACCTCGAGTAGATGCCATCGTTCTTGATAGTATCAGCACCTTGCAATTGAAATGTAATCATTAGTTATCCAATAAAGTAAAAGTGACAATGATGACTATTTAGGAGCACTGGTGATGCCAGCAACTTGAAAGATAGTATTGCACAGTGTTTTAAGTACACGAACCCTGGAATCAAACTATTGTAGTTGAATGCTTTGGTTGAAAGCTTAGCTTTCACAGGAATCACTTGCTAACTCTGATTTTTTGAAAAGTCTGACTCATGGTAGGCATTCCATTAATATCAGTGTTACCACTATTATTTCATAAAGGAAGCTTATCAAGACAAGGAAAATATAACTGAACCGGAGAAAGCATATGTGGAACATGGACATTAATAAAATTAGAGAAAAACTGTCCATTTTTTCATAGGAAAAGTAAAGTTGTTCATAAAATTAAAAAAAAGATAAATGTGCTTGTGGCCATGACTTGTCAGGATAACTGAATAAGCAACTTTAAAAATATTACAATTTAACTTAATTTACCTTAAAATACAATGCACTAGCAAACACAGGAAATACTGACTTCTAGATCATGGAACTATGGGAACATTTTAAATCTAGCAGAAGTCAATGTAGTTTCTTATTACCTGCACCGTTGTCCCAGAGTTCCAGTGTTACTTGATGTCCATCTTCATTTTCTATGATGGCCGTTACATTGATTCCCAAAACAGGCAAAAACCCTTGACTGACTTGTGCATAAACAATCATTGGGCTAGGGTGATGAGCTGTATTTTGACTCATATGAGCAGTTGCAATTACTGGGAGTGTGGTAGGGCTTCTTGCTCGAGTGGTCACTGTCATTGTGAGCAATTGAGATTGAGCATGCTTATTTAGAAGGCTGTAAGTCCAGGTGCCTGTCTGAAAATCAAAAAATATGATTTCTATTTGGGAGTTTTGATAATATTTTCCTACTCCCTGTTTGGAATATAAAATTGGTTAGAAACTTAAGCAGAGTAATAATGATTTTTAATATCTGATTTTACAAGCCAGTAAATAGTATGGATATGGAATCCTAATTATTCTATTTGACTTCTTTTCTTATGACAGATGATTTCTCATTATTTTAATGTTGATGTTATTATCTTCATCTTTTAAAAATGGAAATTAATTAACAAAGCATAGACAAAAAAGAGTCAACCTACTTCTGCGATGCCTTGTATTCGAAGGCGGGCAGACCGAATATTTAGTTGATCTTCTTTGAAATCTGCTGTATTATATTTATTTCCTTTTGGATCTTGAAGAAGAATTTCTGGCTTTTGTATTGTCCATGTGACAACAAAGAAAGTGTCATTTCCAATTGTACTATCCACAGGCACTGTACCATTTATCCAATTATTCCTCGCAACATTCAAGGCTTTACTTTCCAACTGTTGTGTAAACAAAAATAACAAACATATAAAACCCATTTGTTAGTATAGGCAGTGGAATTTCTAAGTTTAGACAGTTAAGAGTAATTTTAAATTTGTTTTTATGATCTCAGTTAAAATAACTAAGGATTATTTTAAGGAACTTTCCAAATAAAAAGCATACATAATTATAAGGAATAGAAGATTCAAAAGAAAAAGGGGGTGTACAATGGAAAGCAAATTCAGTAAGAATGTTTTCCTTCTGGGTACCTGAAATATTTGGGGGCAAAAGAGTTATTTTTTAGAGAAGGAAGAGTTTATAATTAGGATAATAAAAATGTATTACAACTGTGAGAAACCAGAATTCTTTTATAGACTGACCTGAAGAGCCCGCTGAAAGATATTGCCGCTTCCGGATGAAATTCTGCTAAAAGAATCAATAAGGCCATTTATGTCCTTACTGGCAAAAAACTTATGTCCTCCTAAAATGAAATTTTAAATGGGAAAATTATATTTGTTATTGTGCAGTCATCAATATGGTTTAAAATCTATTTAAAATCAAAAGTTCTTTGTAAACTTACAAAAGATGAATTTCCCAGAACTTTATGAACTTTTAGTTTATCAGTGTCCCAGATGTAATCCTATTAACTAAAAACTTGTTCGAAATAAGTAAGATAAGGAAGAATGAAGGAAACTGAAAAACAGGCCAAGTTTTATTGTTTTTACACATGTTAATCATCAAATGTAAGTGCCCTCCACGTTACTAAAAGTGGTTGAAGAACTAAATAATCTTATAAAAATGAAATTTAAGGTAGTTCTTCTGAACGACCTACCGAGAATAAAGTAGAAATTGATTAAGTACAGAAAATACATGATATAGAAATTAATGAAGAGGGAGATTAGTTGAATGTAAGGAGTTAGGAAAAAGATGGCAGAGAGCAAGGTTTAACACAAGTGACTAATATAAATATAACTCAATACATATTATCAGCTTAATAAGTGACCGAAAGACCAGCTGGAAGGCTACTGAAGTAACCCTAGCCAAGGGTTGTGAGACCTAGATTGTCATAGTAGTGGTAGCAGAACTGGATAGAAAGAGGAAATACAGAAATATTCCAAACCAAGATCTAACAAAATTTGGTGAGGCAGGAAGCTGGGTGGGATGACTGAAAGAGCTTTGAAGTGATAATCAGGACTTTATGGCCTTGGGCAAATTGTACCGTCTAGGTTTCTATCCCCTCATCTATAAAAGAGCAATGCCTATACTGCTACTGTGGGATTGAGTGGTATTTTGGAATTGAGCCATAATTTTGGACAGGCAGTTGAGTAATCAATCAAGGAAGAAGTTTCCTTGTAGTGGTTTTGACAGAATACAGGGTGGGGAGAAGACAGCATATGCTAAATGTATTAGAAGAAGCTGGTTCATGAAGAAGTAGAGGAGGGGGAAATAATTTGAATTTAAAGGACAAGATAGGACAAAGATTAATTTTTAGGATAAAAATTTTTTTAGTAGCTTTATAGTTGAAGGAGAAAAAGCCCCTGGAATAGGAGAGACTAGAAATTTATTTTTTATTCAAACTTTATTCCAAAGATTTACCTGTCATTTTTGACAGAGTCTCTAGTTCTTTGGCAGCAGAAGGTCCCAAGGCAATGGTGTGGATGATTGCACCACTTTGTTTTACCTCCTCAAAGCAGGAACTTATTGTATCATCTTCCCCATCTGTTAGTAATATGATTTCAGAACCAGAAGTACTCTGATTGCTCTGGGTAATTACCTGATAGTGAGAAGCCAGGTTATTAATTACAGATTACCATATCTTAATATATTTTAAATTAGAATGAACCTGTTCTTTGGGCTTGGAAACATCTTTAATCCTTTGCATCAGAGTGAACAAGGAGACTTTTTTGCATTGTTATTTTAGGCTGAATTGACATATGGAAATGAGTATAATTTACAGGGGTCTTGTAGGTTTTCAAAGTTGAGTGCTATTGCTTCTAATCCATTCAGGTATTCTTCTGCTACCCAACAGAGGAAAAATAAAGCACTTGAAATAATGCCTGGAACATAGTAAATACTCAGTGAATATTAGCTATTGTTTTTATTACTGTCCCAGGGGATATTTGGGATGTAGGCAAGTGACACAGGCAGTTCTGGAAGACTGAGTTTCAAATGATGACCAGAGGTGGGTTGCAAGGTTGAATGATGTGGTATGTTGTTTTAAATGCATTTTATTTGGTCACTGTTATAGAATCTCAGGATTTCTTGGCGGGGAAGGGGGGGGACTTTGACCTGCCACGAAGAAGAAAGTTTATAAATTTGTAAATTACTACAAATACATTTTTTTCTTTTCATCTTTTCCTGGCTTCTACCAAGAGTATTGGCCAAGAGCTTTAGATATCTGGAGAGTAAATTCCAGCTCTGTCATTTGCTAACTAGAAGAGCCAGTGTTTAGTTTTTCTCAAGACTACATAGGAAAGTACATACACATATATTGTGTAGTATATATAAAGTTCTATAGGTGGTTTAGTGGAATGATTAAGTTTATGGACTTTGGAATCAAAAAAACCAGGTTTTGAATCCTACATCTGTCAATTATTGACTATATTATCTTAAGAAAATTTAATTATTCTGAACCTCAGTTTCCTAATGTGCAAATGGGAATAAAGATATTACCCAATTCACAAAGTAATGGTAAGGGTAAAATATAGTCATCCTTAGTGTAGGATAAGGTTGATAAATGTTAGCTATCAATATTATAATTTTGTAAGTAAAATGCTTAGATATTGATATGGTTTATTATGTAAATAATTAAGAGCTGCTTATGGCTCTAAATGTGTTTTGACAAAATTTATTTAGCAATAGACTTTGTGGTCAAAATATCATAAAATATATATAAAAATATATTTTAAAATGTATGAGCCAATATACGCTTGCATTCTGACATATTCCCAATGTACAGTTCTTGTCATATTTTAGAAGTGAATAAATGTATATAAAAAGAATTATAATTTTTTTTTTGAAACAGAGTCTCCCTCAGTAGAGTGCTGTGGTGTCATAGCTCATAATAACCTCAAATTCTTGGGCTCAAAGCGATTCTCTTGACTCAGCCTCCCTGGTAGCTGGGACTACAAGTGCCAGCCACAACGCCTGGCTATTTTTTAGAGACAGGGTCTTGCTCTTGCTCAAGCTGGTATCCAACTTCTGAGCCCAGGCAATCCACCCACCTTTGCCTCCCAGAGTGCTAGGATTACAGGCATGAGCCACAGCATTGGCCTATCATTATTATCATAATAGTAAACCTTTCTTAAGCATTTACTTATCTCACATAACTTCCATAATTAAATGAGATAGGTACTATTAATATTCACATTACTTTGGTTGGGGGAAACAGACATTTTGAGTTGAGTTGCTTAGTCAAAATCATTTAGCTAATCAATATTAGCCAGGATTCCAGGTTTATCTATATCCAGAGCCTGCCCTCTTCTTTAAACCAATGTTTTATAGCAGACACCATGAGGAAAGTTAACAGATGCTATTAGTCAATGTCCTGGATGACAGTAGCAATCTCTACTTTAAGGCAAAAAATACAATCTATTAAGGCAAAATAAAAATCTATATGTATATTTTTCCACAGTCCCTCAATGATATTATTTTCTGCTCACTAAAGTTCAGACTGTGGGAGTCCTAGAGAAATGGGGAGCTCCTCAATAAAATCATGATGATTGTGTACACACTGAATTTTTCTTTCCTTACTTACCCACTCCCCAATGCAAATTAAAACCTCAGGAGGATGTCAGTGGAACAATTGCACTCAGGTTGTAACTTACCTATTGTTAGGTACGTTAGGAAAGGCTACTGTTTTTTTTCATAAATAATTGACCTTGATTAGGCCACTGTATGATTAAATGATGGACTCATGAACTCATGACCCTTGTTCAAAGATAACTGGACAAAATTAAAAGCAATGGTAAATAGAAAATGATATTTAAAAAAAAAAAGTTTTAATTTTACCTGGAATCCTGCTCTGAGTCCACTGCAAATTGAAGTTCCACCATCAGCTACTTGAGGCAGTTTGGCAGTGATCTTTTGGTAAGTGTTATCATCAGTTATTTTTATAAGATTATTTTGGATTTCAGCAGAATTATCAAATGTCACCATCCCAACCAAGGATCCCTTTTCAACAATTTGAATCAAGTAGAGTTCTGCCGCTTGATTCAATCGAAAGAGACGATCTTCCTATAAGAAAAAAGTGTGTGACCAACTCCTGAGACTATTCAAACCTTGACGTATTAATGACAGATGCCTGGGCCATAGATCGTGATAGTAATTAACTGATATATTTAAAAACTTCATTCTATTTAAAATGTTGAAGAAAATCTTAAGAAATCAGTTATGTTAAACTTGGAAAAGCTTTATAAGTCTCTCTCTCTATATTTTTGAGAACTAGTCTCACTTTTTCACCCTTGATAGAATGCGGTGGTGTCACAGCTCACAGCAACCTCAAACTCTTGGGCTTAAGTGATTCTCTTGCCTCAGCCTCCCAAGTAGCTGGACTTCAGGTGCCCACTGCAATGCCTGGCTATTTTTTTGTTGTAGTTGTCATTGTTGTTTGGCAGGCCTGGGCCAGGTTCTAACCTGCCAGCCTTGATGTATGTGGCCTGTGCCCTAGCCGCTGAGCTACAGGCACTGAGCCAAAGTTTATATTTCTATTAGCTAAAATACTTAAGAGGGCAAAAATTATCTTACTGTTTTCATGCTTCCAGATTTATCAAGTACTAAACAGATGACTCGCTGTTTAGCCTTGAGCAATGAAATTGTAGGACCGGGTGGTGGGTTCTTTCCGGTCATGGGAGATACATTCTGAAAATCTTGAGATTTCATGATTACATCCCATGTGCTTTTGTGATCACACATTTTGTTTTGTAGGTTTGGAGCCTCTTTGTTGTGTGTTTTTGCTGTACAAAATTCAGTTACCTGAAGAGAAAAAAATCAATTAGGATACAAGATTACAATAATTTGTGAGGTATTACCTTCCTTTTCAAATGCGTAGCTAATTATGACTTAGTTATAATTAGTCATACATCCTCTACAGATTTTATCACCAGACAATTCACAATTACTTCATAGTCTAATGTTCTGACAGCCATTGGCTTACTTGAATGGAGAGGCAGCAGTAAAGCTCTCAGTATGTACCGGTAGAGTTTTTTAAAAGCTATAGATCATGTTAGTGAGGGTTGATTTGTTGTTTCTGACAACTTTTATATGTTTCATATTTTAAAATATTTTTTATGTTTATAAACTTTCATTAAGTAATTATAATGTATTTGCATTAATTAAGATTGGGCTTATCCAGGGAAAGAGTCAATTGGCTATTTTCCAAATACTTTATAAATTTAAAAAATGAACAATTTATTTTATACTCACCTTGTACAAGTACTATGGTAATATTTTACATTAGCTCTTATAAACTTAACTCCATTGACAATGTGAATTATGTATTATAATTCCCATTTAAAAGGTAAGAGAGCTAAACCTCTGATTTAGTAGTTTTCCCACAGTAAAACAGCTTGAAATGACAGACAGATTTTTAACTTCAAGTCTATCTAACTTCAGCATACGTTTTCTTATGCACTAAGTTTTATACATTTAAACTGGATATTTCAGGCCAAAGATTAGCTTTGGAACCTTATTGTGTTGTTTTATTTAATTGGCTAGACACGTTGGTACTTGTGGATTTTTTTTCCTTATGTCTGTTCTGTGGAGACAGTGTATGTGTTTTTACAATACCACTTTGTTGTGGCTGGTGTGCTTTAGTGTTAATAAAAAATCTAGAGTGGCAGTCCTTTCCAAAGCCACCTTCTATGTTAGAATGGCTAACACTTAGAAAAGGAATGAAAAGCAAGATTGTAGCTCTGTATATAAGTCCATAGAAGTCAATGGGGCAAAAGGGTGTTCTAAGAATTTATTGTGTGACACTAACGAGAAGGGCACAGGGCTGTACATCGAAAGAAAAGAAATGGGTTAATAAGAAAAGATGGGATAATTTCCAGACATACCCTGACATGGACTGGAGAAAATGGCCTTTAATTAATTGCCTTATTTTCCTTCCTTTTTATTAGTACACATAATTTCATAGTAGAAAATCTAGCTTCCCTAATTAATTTTTTCTGAAGGGTTCCCTGGTGGGACTGGAAATAGAAGGTACTTACGGAATCTAGACTTTGCATAAACATTATGGATTCTCTTGCCCTCTGGGCCTTGTTTGGGATAAATGTGCATTTTGCTTCATACAGCCCCGTCTGTGAGTCACGTCTACATGGCCTTGTTATACAGCTGCCCCCCTGGCATTCCTTGAAAACCACATTAGTACCAGTGATCTGCGTGGAACATCTATGATGGAAGAATTATATGAAGACGAGGCAAATTATGAATAAGGACCAACATCTTAAAATCTTTCCCGATAACTGCTGTAGACAATTGCTGCTGAGTGTCCAGTCTTCTGGACATTACATTTTCACAGTAGTAGGCACAAGGTTTTGCCTCTGTTTACCATTGATTTCAATAAGAACAAAGCTGTCAGTTTATATTTATGAAACATTCACCGCTCACTGGTATGATTAACAAATCTATTGTCCCTGTGACTTTGAGCTAAAAGTGATAGTTACTACTCACAGGGATGTTGTGATGATCAAATGAGTTAAGAGATACGGAGGAATTGCTTCTTAGTGGGGAAGGAAGAATCGAAATTATGCTTATAATTCTTTTACATTTCTACAGGTACATGGATTTATATTTATAGAATTTTGCAACTTACATTTTGAGAACTACTTAGCTAGACTGAAAAAAGAAATAAAAATAACGCCTGCATGGAAATGCTCGTGCATTCAGACCGTTTGGTCTTCATGGTAAAGATGATTCGTCAAGTCCCTGGCAGGGAATGCAGGGGTGGGCGGAGTATGGGTAAAGGATTCTAAAGAGTTTCTGTTTACATACAGGATTTACTCCCATTCTGGGTTAATATTAAACTTTATAGCTTTAATCCACTTTAATAAATTTGTCTGTATTGCAAGGATTAAGGGGGACAGTGAGTCATATCTTCCAAGAAATTTAGTTCCAGAGTAGGCCTGAAAGTTCAACTTAAATATCATGTGACTTCACTGCCTCAAAGTGCTTGGCACACAGTAGGAGCTCAATAAATGTTTTAGATACTTATTTTTGCTAATATATCTTTCTTTATGACCAATTGTAAGAAAACTCAGTCATTTTTTTATCACTTTATCAAATTTTTGTTTGATACATTCTTTGTTTAGCTTTTAATTTATGCCAAAGGGTTAAAAAATATCACAATCCCCAAGAATCTTAAAGTCTAATATAGAAAATAAGGTTACATAGACAATTACTGCCAGTGACGTAAGTGTGAGAAAAGCCTGTGGAACACTCCCAAGGGTATCTAACCCCACATAGAGGAAGAGAAAATATTTCTTTAGATAAGAAATACTTAAACTAAGTCTTGAAAGATGAACAGGTTTTATTGGGTTAGGGAGGAGTTGTGTGGGGTGAGAGTGAGAAGACTGTGTCCTGGGCTGAGTGTCCAGTCTGCTTAAAGACCCAAGTCACCTCAGTGGAGATCAAGCAAATAACACAAAGAGATGGGGAGATGCATTTTTCCATCAGACCTCTTTGCTCTAATATATTTTTTATCTCAAAGACTTATTTCCTGGTATATTAATTTCCATTACTCTTAAGTATTCTTTAAATACTTCATGTGTTTGATATTTTTAACTTGGAGATTTAAACATCTCATCTGTTCACAAATAGAGCCTGCCTATATCCACCCGAAATTATATTTCTTAAAAAAATCAATTTACTTGCTTATCCTTTTGAGAAATACTTTTTTTTAAGATCAAGATTATATAAAAATTCGGGCAGTGCTTGTGGCTCAGTGAGTAGGGTGCTGGCCCCCATATACTGAGGGTGGCAGGTTTGAACCCGGCTCCAGCCAAACTGCAACAACAAGAACAACAAAATAAATAAAAATAAAAAAAGAGTATATAAAAATCTATGGTAAATATAATAATAAATAATAAATAAACATATATTTACCATGAAGCTCTAATAGCTTAATTAATTTCAGTGAACCAGATTTACATTAAGAAGTTGTGAATCATTCAGAACAAAAGAGATCTCAGATGTCTTGGGGTTAGGCCACAGCTTTTTCCTTTACCCTCTGCTCTTATTAACATATTTTAGTATAATCCCTGTGAATATTGAAATTATTTCCAATTCTGAATTGACTTTGATTCCAAGGTGGATATTGCAATAAACTATATGAATATTCAACCACTTGAGATAACCTTCGTTTGCCTAGCATAGAAAATTAAGGAGGCATAAGTAAAAAGTTTTGAAAATAGATTTGTTCAGTACAATGATACCTTGTTGCTTCAATAGTGTTTTTTCTGGAAATATAGAATGGCCGGTCCAGGTTATACTCATCAAATACTCCCCACTGGAGATGGGCCCACTCATGGACAAATATTCTTCCTATGAGAGGATATTGCCACTTAAAAATTTATAGTTACAATATTTTAGTATTTTTTCTTATATTTTAAGTGTCTTTGCCCATCTCCCCAGCCTAATTGAGACAAGGAATGCCAGAAATTGATGCTTTTCATTAGGCCAAAAGAGTTGAAATGGGTTAGTGCCAATAAGTGACTAATTTTATTATTAAAAACACTTGCACACAACACAAAAATACAATTAAGTGGAACATAACCAGAATATTTCCAAGTAAAGGTAATACTTAATACTACTTATTTTTCTCTTAAATCTTTAAAATATGAATTACAATGTTATTTTTTCCCCAGTGGAAATCAGAAGTATAAAATAGATATTCCTACCTCGGGGCCCATACGTAGGTAAATTGTTACTCAACAAGAAGTTTGGAGTGAAATGTATATATCGTCCCTTGTCTCCACATTGTCCATATTGAAGTGTATAGGGCTCATCTCCGTATTTCAGATAAGGATCAGCAACTATGACATCTGCCTAAAAAAGCAAAAGAAACAATGAACAAAAACAAACTCCTGGAGCTATAGAAACAAGGGATTTTAGACACAAGGACTTTCCGTATACATCAAGAAAAGTTATAATACTGATTTAATTACTAAATTAGTGATTAGTAATTACTGAAAAATTACAGGTATTTATTTTCAAAAGGCACAGGAAGGAAGAAGCAGTTTAGGAACTAAATTAAATAACCTACCTGGTCATATGATTCTTGTTTCGGCATTAAGTACTCAGGGTTTGACTTCCAGGTCATTGGAATTAAAATGCTTACACTCCTGAAATAAGCTCTTCTTTTAGTGGCATGAAACAAGTAAGTAGAAGCTTCGATTACCATTTCCTGATACAATTAAAAATACCTTATGGTAAAAACTTCATAGTAAAGTGAATGTAAAAACATACGCAAACTAGAAGAGGTAAATCAAAGCTTCCTTTCCCTAAACATTTTGGCAAAAACTGTTTCACAGTTGAATATTACTACATATCCTCAATCTATAAACTCCTCAGTTTCTTATGCTTAAAAATCAACTTTCTGGTTTTTACCTGTCCAGACCTGCAATCAGCAATGTGGGTTGGAGATGGGAATGAAGGTGCCAGGTGAGTTATAAAGGTGATTAAGACCAGGAGCCTGTTGACAAGTTGCTTATTTAGTCAAACAGACGTACGTTGTTTAAATAAATTAGGAATTTAAGGTTTGATATATTATTATACTGGACATGAATTGAAAAAAAATTTGCTCTATTTAATTTCAGTTATTCTTCTCATATGGACTGTGTCTATAAAAGACAAAGCTTTACCAAGAAGTAATAAAAATGAAAATACATTGGTTTCAGATCTCAGTTTTGTTAGCTAGTGTAGGGCCACACAAGTCACTTAACTTCTCTCATTTATATAAGGATAACATCTTGTTCTTGACCTCACAGGGGTATTGGGAGAATCAAAGAAGATAATAGATATTAAAATGCTATATAGATATTAAGTATGCTTGGTTATACTGATTAATATAAATAAAATTAGGGAGATGAATCAACTTTAAATAGGGCAATATTTTCTTTAATATAAAATATATATAATTTCTTTAATTTTCCAGAGTTGAATAAATATGAACAAGTGAAAATTTATATCAGATAATAAACCTCTAGGGCAGTGATTTTCAACTGTACCAGGCACACTGGTGTGCCATGAAAGGATCTTAGGTGAGCTTGGAAAATTTTTAAAGACCACTAAATTATTTTCAAAAGAAGTTCAAGGCCCAGTAAGTATCCATATGTATGTATTTTTTTATTCTTTTTTTTTGATCAACAAAATTCAAATGTGCTGCAGAAGTTTAACTATAAATTCAAGTGTGCTGTGAGATAAAAAAATTTAAAAAACACTACTCTAGGGCTTAGTTATTTGAACTTTATAGAAAGTAAGAGGTAAAATTTGAGGATAATTTTCCACTCATTCCAAAGTATTTCCGTTAGCTTACTTAGTTGAAAAAATATTAGTAATTTGAATTTGTAATAACTTATTAGGGGGATGCTAATAGTATTTACATATAATTAAAACATTCTTACACTAAGCAGATATGATCTTCTTGACAGTTTGCATAAATGCTGCATAAATAATTAATAGTATCAAAGCAGTTTTGGCAAGTTATAACTCTATGTGAGTGCACATGCCTAGACAACATGCACTGAAAATACTTAGTGAAATAAAAATGTATCACTAAATACTTAGTGATAATAAAACTTTCTCTTACCTTTATTTTTTGAATCAGTTTTTCATCTTCTGGTACACTGGGGTTAATTGCGATGACGATTCCATCATATCCATTATTACTAAAACTTACCATTGAGCTTTTCACTCCTGGGAAGAGATAAAAGGCTAAGAGGAGAAAAACATTCACTCTGAACCCCATTTTTGCACATTACATTAAACCTCTCGGAAAGGTGGGGAGGGCATTTATGCTATGCTTAATTCAGGAATTTGAACTAAGACCAAAATATTTGCATACACATAATATAGTAAATTACGAAACTATCTCGGTGAATTTCCTTATCTTACTCATTCTAAAGATTTAATTGTTAAGTAGCAAGGGAGATTATACTGAAGACATTTATCATATTTTCTAAGACAGCAGATTGAATTGAGCTATTCTTTTAGGTTGTGTGGTTGTCATCATAGCAGTGGGAGGTCATTATTATCGTTATCATCACCGTCAAATGGTATTAGAGACCTAAGTCCTAGGAGGTGTTTAGAGAGAAGTACTCTATGAAGGGAGGAGGAACTGAAATTGGAAGCATCAGCAAAAAGCAGATGAAAAAGGCCTGCTTTAAGAAAAAGAATAAAGGAACTAATGTAGGAGTGGTAGTGAAGTAAGTGGGCATATTTCCTTCTTTAGATGGGAGTAATATAAGTGGTTTAGATCAGCTATGATCAAGGGGAATTTTTTTTTATTACCTTCTGCACTATTTGGTATACTTTAGTTTTTAATTAGCATTGAATGCCTTCAGTCCTTGTGTAGCATGAAAACTTAGTATGCTTAAATTAAGATTTCTGTTTTGGATTGAACGCAGTTGTTCCTGAGTTGTCCTTGGGGTCAGATGAATCTAAACCTGACTCTTGTCTTGGTCACTTAACATTGTCAGAGTTGTATGGCTCTCTTTTAGGCCTAGTTTCTTCTCTGTGTTAGCAGCATAATTATGGGATGTTGGAAGAATTAAGTGAGATAATCTTTGGAAGGCACTTCATACAAGACTTTTTTTCTTTTAATGTCCTAGGTTGAATGGAATGTACAAGACTTCTGAGGCCTAATAAGCACTCAAGAAATATTATCTGTTATCATTAAACATAATATATTACGAATATAAACCTTGCTGTAAATTTTTGCCAATTAAATTCCATGTTTACACTGGCTTATTTTGAAAAACTTTTAAAGATAGTCTCTAGTGTTTAATTGCAGAATGAGGAGTCACCACGTCTGCCTGGCAAAGACTAGAAAAGAAACTGTTGGAATGAAACTATGACATATAAACTTTCTGAAATGCCGTGGATTAATTCCCATCTTTGGACAATATCCTATCCTTGATGATCCAGCTTAGATGTAGCCTAACCCATAAAATTCTCCCAAATCATTCATTCATACTAGAAGTAATCTTTCTTTTTTTTTGGCCAGGGCCAGGTTTGAACCCACCACCTCCAGTATATGGGGCTGGCACCCCACTCCTTTGAGCCACAGGTGCCGCCCAGAAGTAGTCTTTCTTTGAATTTATTTGAACCACCATATTCATGTATTACCTGTATTACATGTGCTATTAATATACATCATATATCTCCCTGCTACATTATAAACTCCTTGAAGGGAAGAGATTATTTTTTCTGAGTTTAACCTCCCTCAACCTCAATTTCCTTAACAGTTAAACGAAGACAGTAATGAAACTGCCCTTACAAATTGATGAAGGGGTGCAAAGGGAGAACTAAAGGACCCCCAAACTCTGTGAAAGAACAGGCCAAAATGAAAATCGTGATAATAATCAAACTCTGTGAAGGAACAAGGTTAGCAAAAATAATGATAATAATCAGCCACTATTGCCTTGTTTGCTTAATAATAGTCACTGCCCTTGTTTGCTTCTCTGTATTTGCTGTCCTAGACAGCACAGGGGGTAGTTGTAAAGATTCTTAAATTTTCTCTGTAGAAAACATCACCTGTTTGGAACCTTGGGCTGGTTCTTGAGATATCTTCCAGGTCCTGCATTCTAGGGGACTGACTGACTTCCCAGACCAAGGAACTGACTCAACTGGTCTTGGACCCCGCACCCCCACCCACCTAAGGAATTGCATTCCAGTGAATCAGCTGTCCCACCCAGACAGCGCTCTATACCAAGAGACTGATAGTTCTGCCCTGAAACCAGCCAATTTAGCAGACTCCGAGTGACTAATCCTCTTCCACAAAACTCTTTTTTAAAACCCTGTCTCCCCAGTTCTTGGAGCGATGGATTTGCAAAATTTCTCCTGTGTCTTCGCATAGTGCTGTGCGGGATAGACTCTTTCTCTACTGTAAAGCCTGCTGTCTCTGGATATGGGCTTACTTGTGGGCAGTAGACAGATGAAGCTGGCTGGGCAGCAACAGTAATAACCTTCTAGAAGGTGATTAATTTTAGTGTCAATTTGACTGCACCACGGGATGTCCACTTATCTGGTAAAACATCATTTTTGGCTATGTACGTGAGAATGTTTCTGGAAGAAATTAATGTTTATTTCAGTAGAGTGGAGAAAGAAAATCTGTCCTCACCAATGCAGGTAGGCATCATGCAATCGGTTGGGGCCTGCATACAGAAAAAATGATGAGAAAGGGTGAATTCACTCTCTCTTCTGGAAATGGGATATCCATAGTCTCCTGCCCTTGGACATTGGAGCTTCCCTTGTTCTCAGGCTCTCCGCTTCAAACTGAGAGTTGTTATTGGCCCTCCTGGTTTACAGGCCTTTGGACGTGACTGAATTACACTGGCAGCTTTCCTGGTTCTCTACCTTGCAGACAGCATCATATGAGTCAACTCCATAATAAAATGTTCTCTTACATATCTCTGTATATCTAGTTGGTTCTGTCTGTGGAGAACTCTAACACATCCCTCTTATCTCTTTAAACTTAAAAAACATTAAAAAAATTCTTAGCCTATATTCCATGTTAAATAATTCCAATGGTAGTATTTTTATGAGTCTGATTATAAATATATATATTTTATTGGATCTCACTCAAGGTTCCTTTTTACCTTGTTGATCAGTGATGTCTGACTTTGACTTGCTCATTTTTCCTGGGAATTTATTTGCAAATCTTTGAAATCTTAGATGAGGAAGAGTTAGTTCCTCCATAAAGGAGGAACTATATCTGTCAAATATCTGGGTGCATTACCGATCTGAGGCAGCATTTGTCTTCCTTAAAACATATTTCCTCCATGGGATGGTTATCACAGAAAAAAGTAGCTCTCAAGTTTTAAATCTTTTGGCTTATTAATTTGAAAAAAAATATATTTTGGCTTACTCCATGAGATAAGTTAAAACAATTTTAGGAAAAAGACTTGACTGATATAGCTTGGGCCAGATTGCAAAAACCAAATTATTTAATTATGGCCAAGAATTTGGGTAATAAGTTTCATGACTTGAGAGTGATCAGTGAGTGGTGGTCAAGGAGACTGGGTCATGTGGGAACGTGGAAGCTTCTAAGGCAGCGGTTCTCAACGTGTGGGTGGCGACCCATAGGAACTTTATTAAAGGGTCACGGCATTAGGAAGGTTGAGAACCGCTGTTCTAAGGGAACAACGTGTATACAATGATGAGAGAACAAACAAAGATTTCTGCTATATATGCAGAAAAGAATAGAAATGAATAGAATGTCCAACATTTGTAGTGCTGGGTTAGTAAAGGGCCTGGCACACACTGTTTTTATTCTTTCGATAGTTTTATTTTATTTTATTTTATTTTATTTTTTGAGACAGAGTCTAACTATATTAGAGCTCACAGCAACCTCAAACTCCTCTGCTTAAGCCATTTTTTAGCCCCAGCCTGCAAGTACCTGGGACTACAAGTGCCTGCCACAACACCCGGCTATTTTTTTCTTTTCTTTTTGTTGTTGTTGTTGTTGTTGTTGTTATGGTTGTCACTGTTGTTTGGCAGGCCCGGGCTGGGTTCAAACCCGCCAGCTCTGGTGTATGTGGCCAGCGCCTTAGCTGCTGAACTATAGGAGCTGAGCCTCTTTCAATAGTTTTAAAAAGTAAAAACTGTGGCTTAAACATTCTGAAAAACTAGAGGAGTAAAATTGGGCAACTTACTAAACTTTTCTGGGTTTCTGTGTCTGCATCTTGATGAAGAGTTAGAATTAGTGCTCTTAGAGCCTCAGCATGAAAACACTATTATTTTAGGAGTTACATCTTCATTTATAATAAATAATAATTCTGAACAATTTTTTTTTTTTTTTTGAGATAGCTTCTCACTTTGTTGCCCAGACTAGAGTGAAATGTAGGGTGACCAGATTTTAACATTGGTAAGGTGGGACAACATGGTGGGGTAGGGGGGTGGGGGGCTGGAGGGGTGGGCAGGGGACGGGATGGGGCAGGGCAGGGCCCGACAACAATGCAAACTTTGATAAGCAGTTCTCGATAATCACTTCTCAGCAATTATTTGTTATTATTACAGTTTAACATTATAAAATTAACAAAAATAACATAAAACTCATATTTTGGCAAAATAGCCACATGGCAGCCGAAAACCGTATATTCCCTTCGTGTTCTCCCGCCCATTCGTGCATTCTTTCCAAAAATGGGTACTTTTTGAAAACGCTGCGTGATGCGGGACAAATTGTTGAAAAGTGGGACGGTCTGGTCACCCTAGTGAAATGGCATGATCATAGCTCATTACAGCCTCAAACTCCTAGGTTTGAGTGATTCTTCTGCCTCAGCCTCCCAAGTAGCTAGCGATACAGGTTCTCCTGCTCAGGGATGGATGTGGATCTTTTTTGGGGCCTAAGCAAGCTCAATAGTCAACTTTATCACAGAACTTAAAGAAAAGAACCAGTTTGGTAAGTGTTCCAAATAAGCCACCATTCCTGGAGCAGGGAACACACCCTAAACAAGAGATAAGGTCTCATCTGGGCCCCTACTCCTGAAACAAAGAACACATCCTAAATAAGAGATAAGTATCTCACCTGGACTGCCCTTCCCAGAGCATAGACACACCCTAAACAAGAGAGAAGCATCTCATCTGGGCTACTGCTCCCTAAGCAGAGAACACACCCTAAATAAGACCACATCCTATGTGGGAATAGTTTTAATATTAACTTCTGTCCATAGGACCCTGGTGCTAAAGGATTGTGACATATACATTTCATCTCCCTAACCCCACCTGCAGCCTGCAGGGTAGGAAAAG